TCTATTCTGCTAAGCCACTGGCCAAAACAGTTTTATTCATTAACAACAAAAGCAACACATAGACAGAAGGACTTCCCACACCATATAGGTACTAAATACATGGATTTGTTTTTTTACTTATTTACTTTGGAGTTTAATTTAAATATTAACTAAGAAATAACAAAAAACATGGTGTTTTGTTAATGAAAATATTATTTTCTGATCAGTTTTCTCTCTGTCATCTCCTCTCAACCTCCCCACACTTCCAACCCAATGCCTTTTTTCTTGTTTTCTCCACAGAAAACAAACAGGTCAATTTTTTTAAGGCAGAATAAAACAAAGAAAACAGACAAACTGAGAAGAGAAAAAAGGGAGGGAGAAAGAAAGCACATGAGAGACATACCACTCAGAGACACACCCACATATACAAAACCCACAAAACACAAAATCAAAGACCATAATAGGTAAGCAAAATCAAGCAAGATTTTTTAAATGCCCAAATAAAGAATTATGATACAAAAAATCTCCACAAATACCACTGAATTCATATTGTGTTGTAACATCTACTGTTAGACATGAAGCCTGCCCTTAAGTGTGGTTTGTATTACCGGTAAGACACCCTGGGAAAAGCCTAATTCTTCCTTTGAGAGTGTTTATCAGTTGGAGATAGATTCTGATTTAGGAATAAAGGCTTCTATCCACGTCCCCTCTCACCACCTGGGCCTCATCTGTCTTTATAGATCTATACAGTCCTGTGACGACTACCAGTCTCTGTGAGTTTATATTGTGTCAATCTTCCCATATTTATAAGGCCTTGTTTCCTTGGTGTTTTCTATTCCCACTAACTGTTACAATCTTCTCATCTCCTCTTTTTCATAATTCTCTAAACCCTGAGGAGAGAATTTTGATGAAGACATCCCATTTAGGACTGATTGTTTAGGACAAGGTCTTTAATTATCTGTCCACTGTCCAGTTATAGGTCTCTTTATTTACTCCCATCTACTGCAAGAATAATTTTTTCTGGCAATGACTGAGTAAGACACTGACCTATGTGTATAACAAAAGGCCATTAGGAATAATTTTTATTGTTAAATTTCTTTAGTAGAACAATAGCATTTGGTTTCCCCATAGACCCATGGCTTATTTAATTTCTGGGCCACGAGAGCAGCATCAGGGGTTATCCAGATGGTTTCCATCTCATGAACTGGGTCCTAAATCCAAGCAGATAGTGGTTGGTTACTCCGATGTTTGTGCCAATATTGCTCTAGCATATCAAGCAGTCTGTTTAACATTGTAGATTGCAGGGTTTGTAGCTGTGTTTGTGTTTATTTACATTTATCCTTTGGTTAGTATGCAGAGTGTTTTTCAGTACTGTGAACACTAATCAGTAGGGGTGAAAGCCCTAGTTAGGCACTAGTTAGATATATAAGTGTTATTTTTACTTACCATTAGTTTGTGGAGAATAGCCAATAGCCTTAGCAATAGCTTAAGTTGTTTGGGGGTTTCCATGGAACTCCTTTGGCCAACAACTCAATCAGATGTGTTGAGTACTGGCCTCAACAAAAAATATCTCTTGCCAGGAAAGGGGCATGGGAAAGATATCAGAGGGATTGTGGGAGACTATAGAATGTGTAGTGAGAGTTTTTGGAGTAAAGGGAAAGTCTGAATTAAACATTGTAAAAATGGTAGCTCACAACTAGAATTAGACAAGGCTAGCAGTCAGTATAGAGGCTCGTATTCTCCCCACAAAAGAAGTTGAACTTAAACTACTCTAGTAGAAGAAAAATAGTTATCTCTTCATAGACCATGTAGACAGCAGACTTTGTTGCAAGGAAGGAGCTGCTTGTTCATCCCGGCTTCCCAGAACCAAAATAATCACACAGAAACTGTAGTAATTAAATCGCTGCTTGGCCCATTAGCTCTAGTTTTTATTGGCTAATCTCTGACATCTTAATTTAACCCATCTCCATCAATCTGCATTACCACAAGGTAGTGGCCTACCAACAAAGTTTCAGCAAGTCTATCTCCAGCAGTGGAACCATGGAGTCTCTCCGACTCTGCCTTCTTCCTTCCGGCATTCAGTTTTATCTTCCCCACCTACCTAAGTTCTGTCCTATCAACCCAAGGGTTCATAGGTTGGCAAAAATTATGGTTGGGACTCTGATCTTCAGAGAACTGTAATTGTCAGAAATAAATAAATAAATAAATAAACCTGTTACCTAAGAACTATGCAGCCATAACACAGGCAAGGGACTGGTACCTATGTGGTTATCTTATGTACCCTACACACTGACCATGTGATCCCTCGCGGCAGGTCCCAAGGCTCTTTACTGCTGGCCAAATCTGTGGTCTCAAAGTAAAATTAGACTCAATGTTCCCAGAGTCAGAAAAAAAATTCTAATTATCTCTCTTATGGGACTCAGATACCTTACCCCCTTTCCAGGAGCATCTATTCAGTGCTGGAGATGGACTGAGAGGAGAAACACATGATCTTACAATAATGAACAAAGTCTCACAACCACTTCTTGGTTGTGTGCCTACACATGAACTTCTGGATTTCATGAAACACATTTTAAGATCTGAAAGGAAACAAAAATTATGACAAAGAAAATGTGTGTCAAATTCTAAGAGAGAATGGCACAAGTTAAAAATGACATCTTCACATGGGATCGATAAGGAACATATCATTTTATTTCTCAAATATTAATCTCCACTCAAGACCTTTTATATCAGTTATACACACTTCCACATGTCACACATAGGCACTCACACAAACACACACACATGCACATACACAAACACACACATACACACACATACACACACACACTTTTCCATAATGTAATTGTCTCATGTCAAACTCAATAGAATATTTAAGGTGATTTTTTTTCAACCTATCCTTTCTTTAGAATTGTCCCATCACTGTTCCCACAATGTTAAACAATCAAGTGTAGTGATATTTTATTTGTATTTTTTTGATTTTTCTATATTTGTATTTTAATAAATAAAGCTTGTCTGAAGTTCAGAGAGTAAAACAGCTGCACTGATCAGCCTTACAAACCAGGCAGTGGTGACCCACACCTTTAATCCCAGTAGCCATGCAGTTTCCCCAGCTGTCAGTCCAGAGTTCATGAGATCCCACTAGCTCGGGTCAGCTATCTCTGTGGTTTTCCCACTCATGATTTTGACCTCCCTTGCCCATATGACCCCTCCTCCCTCTCTTCAACTGAACTATAGGATCTGAGCTCAGTGCTTGGCTGTGGATTGTTTTATCTGCTTCCACCAGTTACTGAATGAAGATTCTATGATGATACTAATCTAGACTAGAGGGTAGTCACTAATCTGATTACAGGAGAAGGTGAGTTCAGGTACCCTCTCCACTATTGCTAGGAGTCTTAGCTAGGGTCATTCTTATGGATTCCTGGGAATTTCCCTAGTACCTGGTTTCTCCCTAACCCCATAATAGCTCCCTCTATCAAAATATCTCTTTCATTGCTCTCCTTCTTTGTCCCTCTCCCAAATCTACCATTTAAAACCCTCATGTTCCCATCTGCCATCCTCTCTCTTTTACCTCCACTCCCAGTTTATCTTAACTATTTCCCCTTCCTGGGGTCCTCCATGTGTGTATTTCTTAATTTTTATGAATTATTTCTTTGATGTTTCACTCCTGGCTATGTCCCCCAACCTTCAAATAGCCCAACCATCTGCCCTAATCAAAACCTCAGTTAAGCCTTATCTTTCTAAGCGTACCCTCAAGGCTGAAGAAGCACCAATCTATGTATCTAGCAGCACACAAATACGTATCTTTGGGATTCATCCAGTTGTGTCAGAGCTGTTCTCTCATGACTGTGGGCTGCTTGTAATGTGAGCAAAGCCTATCGTCTGAAGACTTGGGAGGTAATAGAGAATCTAAGTACTTACATTCTTAGGAATATCATCCTGAAAATGTGGAACTTGATCACCTTATTGAAAGTAAAATCACTATGAGAAGTATCTTCCTTGTCCACTACCTCTGCCTAGGTTTCACTGTAGCACTTTACCCTAACATATTACTGTGTTTTATTTCATTGTTTTGCTTGCTGTCATTCTCCTCCAACTGGATATAAAGTCCCTTGGTGAAGGAATTGTTGTCAGCTTTGTCCATTAGTGTACCCCAAACCAGTACATAATAATACCCCAGTAATTGCAGCTATAAAAGACTCATACTGTTTGAGTCTAGATTGCAATATATTTTCACTTAATAGTCATAAAAATTTAATAGTTCCTATAGCCACTTGGATATGAAGAAACCAAATTTTCTAAGATTGTTGTTTCTGAAATTTTATCAGCCTCTATGTAGATAAGATTTAAGGAGCATATTCTAGATTGGGGGAGGATAAAAAATCTTTTCAAAAAATCATGATCTTTTGTTATGTTGTATGCTTACTTAGTAATGATTTGAGAAATGCTTACATACTAGGAGTGTTCTAGAATACCTTTGAAGCAAAGTCTTGGCCAAGAGTCTTACAACAGTTCAGCATTATTGTGGCCCCAGCTCAGTATATTTAGGAATTGGTGAAAATGGTCTGTCTATAGCAGAAACTCCTGAAATGGTGAGAAACAACAAAGCTGATGATAAACTCAAGGCAAGAGGTAGAAGTAGGATTCCCTTTACTAGGATTGACTTCAGCCATTTGTGATTAACAAATCACTGCAGTGATCCTTAAAAATAAGGCAGTGGACCTACCCTAAGCCTTTTGGTATAGATATTTAATGGGATTCGCAGGGTATGAAACAGCTGGCCCTGGACTCCCATAACGCACTGTATTGGAGACCCAGTGCTGTGAACCATGGTCTGCCATGACTGCACCCAGGTGGCCATTCACACACTTCTCTGTGCACCTATGGGCCACCTCTTGCTGAGGAAGATTGTGGTATTCCGTGTGTGATACAGCAGGAAAATAGGTCTTTGTGGGTAGTCTTTCTTTAGAGCGATGCGTCAAGTGCTATCTCATAATGGCCCTTTTCTCCCTCTGTTACAGGTCAATGCACAAACTGGCCCAGCTGGAGAGACTTGACCTAGGCAATAATGAATTCAGCGAGCTGGTAAGCAAACGGGCTTTTTAAACTTGTCAAACAGACTCCAGGGGATTCTTTCTGCTGTGTCTTCACAACCCAGGCATTTAAGCTTTGAGTGCATAAGTGTGTTTGCCAAACATTAAAACAATAAAAGCTAGGAGTTATGTTGATTGTTCGACTGTATAATAAATCACAGGAAACTGTATGTTACCTATCACAGAAAATCAGAATTACGGGCTGTGTGTTTTGACAATTTAAGTACCAACTGGGTAGCAGGAATAAAGTATTTTGCAAGCTTCATCTCAGCTAATCCTAACCTGGCATGTGGTCACCTTAACATTATGTATTAACCTGAAATGGTAATTGATACATGACTGTTAGGTGACTGCTGAAGGGTTAAAAGGGTTTGTTTAGAGTCCACGCCTTGAAGATTACTGTGTTGGTTTAGAAGTTAGCCCCAGGGTCAGCACCCTTCCAACCATAATAAAACGTCTTTCCCATGAAGAAATGCTAATGCCGCACTGCCTGAGAGATTGGCAGTGTTCTGACAGCCACTTGCCGGCTTTTTACTTTAAAGTATGCCCAAAGACCAGAATCACAAAACCAAATTAGAAAGGAAACAGAAAATCCTTTGTAAGAAGACCAAGCATACTATGTGCAGAAGTTTCTCATTAGACACTGTCAAGTCTCCAAATCGATAGTTAACTGAAGGCCTCTGAATAATCAATCAGCTTTTCCAATCCTTCAATTGTTGATTGATTTGGGGAAAGTGACTTAATCTCTCTAAACCCCATTTTCCTGATCTATAAAATGGGGGATATAGTGGTTGCTACCTTAAAGGGCTTCTGTGAGAATTAAAGAATAATGCATATATAAGACCTGGAAAAGGTGCTCTCGGTTAGTGCTCCTGTGCAAGGGTGGTAGGCATTCCATTCATGATATAAGAGAACACATGAGGAATATTCGCTGTTTTGTTTTAACCATATCCAGCAAGTTATTATGCTGCTGTTTAGGGCTGTTCTTTCAATGGCAAAAACATGGTTTTATCTGTCTGTGATTAAAAGCCCCAATCTGTCCTTAAATAAAAATTACCTCCCTAGAGAAAGGAAAGGGATATCTTGATAAAGGGAACCATTATGTGTTAGGGAGAAATCTGCTAAGAAAACTCCAAGGAATCCATAAGGATGACCCCAGCTAAGACACCTATCAATAGTGAAGAGGGTGCCTGAACTGGCCTTCCCCTATAATCAAATTGATGATCACCCTAATTGTCACTATAGAAGACTGGCATGTCTGATGCACCCGGGTACATTTTTCCTATAAAGGGTAGTACAAGAAGAGGCTGTCAGATCCTCTGGAACTAGAGTTACTGACAGTTGTGAGCCACTTGACATGGGTGCTGGGAACTGAACTTGGGTCCTCTGTAAGAGCAATAAGCATCCTTTACAAAAAACCTATCTCTCCAGTCATGTATCTTGTCATTTTTAAGGAAGATATGTGTGGTGGAGACAAGGATTGGTGAGGGTGGTAAATAATAAATAGTTGTGAAGCTAGGAGTATGCACAGACAGATTTGAAGTTAGTTACTAAGGCTTTAAGGAGGGCCCTGCTTGCCTTTAGCACACATGTCTTGATGTCATGGGAGAAAGGACACAAACAGCAGTTGAGGTCTTTACCTCACTTTGTAACTGCATCTCCCTCATCATTAAAATAGGAATATTACTCCCATCCATTTCATGGCCTTTGGGCAAGTTTTCATGTAAGAGCATCTGCAGTAAGCATCCCTTATATGTGTTTAAGAATTTCACTCACCAAGGACTTTGCAAGCTTTTCACATGGAGATATATCTAAATCAATACTTAATTTAAATATTTAAATCAACAAAAATGACTAGATACCTTAGTTAGGGTTTCTATTGCCATGGAGACATCATGACCATGGCAATTCTTATAAAGAAAAGCATTTAGTTGGGATTTGCTTACATTTCAGAGGTTTAATCTATTATCAGCATGGCAGGAAGCATGGCAGAACACAGGCAGACATGGTGGTAGCTGAGAGCTCTATATCTGGATCTCCAGGCAGCAAGAAGAGAGACAGACTGATGTGGGATTTCCCTCTGTGTGCTGTGATTACCATTGATAAATAAAGGACCAGCTTTGGGCCTATAGCAGAGCTATAGGGGAACAGAGCTAGGCCAGGAAACTAAACTAAATGTTGGGAGAAAGGAGGAGGAGTCAGAGAGAAGCCATGTAGCCCTGCTGGAGTCAGATAGAACTTTACCCGGTAAACCACAGCTACGTGGCAATACATAGATTACTAAAAATTGGTTAAATTAAGATGTAAGAGTTAGCCAATAAGAAGCTAGTGCTAATGGGCAAGAGTGATTTAATTAATACAGTATCTGTGTGATTATTCCGGGGCTGAGCAACCGGGAAGGAAACAAGTGGCCACCTCACAACAACAGACACTGGGCCTGACTTGAGCATTTGAAACCTCAAAGCCCACCTCCAGCAGCACACTTCCTATAAGAAGGCCACACCTACTCCAACAAAGCCACACCTCCTAATCGTGCCACTTCCTATGAACCTATAGAGGCCATTTTCATTCAAACCACCACACTAGGACATGTTTATTTTTATCAAATTATACTTATTGAAATTTGATTTATGATTACTACAATGTAAGCTCTCCATGGTATGTAATAAATCGTACTCCAGATCAGTGATTCTCAACCTGTGGGCCTCAACCCTCAGATATCATTGGAAAAAACAAATACTTAACATTGTGAATCATAACAGTAGCAAAATTATAGTTATGAAGTAACAGTGAAAATAATTCTATGGTTGGGGGTCACCACAACATGAGGAATTGTTTTAAAGGGTTGCAACATTAGAAAGATTGAGAAGCACTGCTCGAGATGGATAGTTTTATTCATTGATATGACAGGGATCTACACTGTCATCATGTTTCTCAAAAAGAAATGCTGACATTTGCTCAGCAGAGCCCTGGCTCCACAGCTCAGTATTCGACTGACATCAACATCTCGATATTATCCTAAGTAATGTGACTTCTGTTTTAAAGTTCCTGCATATGTTTAGTTTCTTGCTCAGCACATCATCTTTTGGATGCAGTTACAAATGTCTTCTTCCAAGATCTCCTGAGTAAATTGGGAGCATGGGGACTATGAGAGAGGGTTGAAGGGGAGGGGAGAGAAAAGGAGGAGAGCAGAGAAAAATGTAGAGCTCAATAAAACCAATTTAAAAAGACATAAAAAGTCTTCAACAATTAAAATAGCCTCCTACTTCTGGCTACAGGTCATTGGGTTTTACCTTCTACATAACTAATAGATCTGCTATTAAAAATATGAAGTTTTCTACAGATCATTCACGAATTTCTCTGTAACCATTCAAATAGTCTGTGACTTAATTGGTTTCTTGTTCCACAATTTTTAAACAATTTATGTCCCTGAATTTAATTAGATAATTTTCCCTTCAATGTGTTAGTGCTGTAGGTTTATAGAAAAAAATTCTGATGTAAAACTTTTCCACTTCTTAAATAAACAGACCACAATAAGGAAAGTGTGTGTGTGTGTGTGTGTGTGTGTGTGTGTGTGTGTGTGTGTGTTGATAAAACAAAATGTCTTAGACTGGATATTTTGCCAGGAGTGGAAAGCTGTTCTCACAGTTGTGAAAACATTCCAAGATGTAGGTACTGGAGGATTCAGCTGGCTTGGGGTACAGCCTCCCTGCTTCCTAGATGCCCTTGTTGTGTTCTTACATGGAAGAAAGCAAAGGGACAGAACTGGTGACCTCTCTTAGAAGCTTCTTTTCAAAATACACCCGTCTATTCATGAGGAAGTTTTTTTTTTATCTTGAGATTCAAATGGATTTTGTTTCTGTTTGGTTTTATCTCTTGCTTTTATAAAATTTTAAAGATAAGCATTTTAAAAAACAGGTGAAAATTCTTGGGTTGGAGATACCTGATCCACATAACTGAGAAGGTCGGTGGTTGGCAGACTGTGTGTTCAGGCAGGGTACAATGAAAATATTCTCAGAGAAATTTGAAGCTGTTCAGTACTTTTCTTAATGGCCCTGCATTTAATTGAAATTGAGTGGACTACTAATTTATTAAAAGCATGACAGTAAATACCTCCACATTTTCCTAATTTTCCAAGGCTTACTCATTTTTAATTACCTAAAGTAGATGCACACCCGCAGCGAGTGGCATTCACACACCTATTCATTTCCTCCATATGTAATTATGACATGCTTCCTACCTCTAATCAAATTTTCCCAATTATTCTCCTAGAAAAGATTACTTTAAAAGAACAAAATAAGAATTAACCGTTACATAACAAGCCATCCTATCTTTAGGCATAGTATTTGAAAAACATCCTGATTAGTAATGCCTCTGTTTCACTGCATGTGGAGCAGTATCAAGACTTTGAATCACGTATACATCAGAGACATTGACAGAGTTATTAACCTAACATGAAAACTTGAGAACTGAAACTCACTTTGGCTGCTATTGGGAGCATATCATTGTCTATCTCAGTCAGGAGGGCCAGGGTGCAAACTGTATCAATTATTTCACAGAAAAAAATTAAAAAAAAGAGTTACTAATTGTGCCCCCAGAGAAGTGAAAAAGGAGCAGCAGACACAGAAGTGGTAGCTCCAGGGAGCAGCAGGTGAAGAACAATGAGCACCTGAAACTGGGAATGTTGGGAGGAGTGCCTGCCTACTGGTGCTGTGGCTCCAATGAGCATCACGACTTTTGTGGTTGTCTTTTTAATCACTACGGCATGAAGAAGTGTTGCTGATGAAATAATAATGAGAAGAAAAGTTGAAAATCCCTTATTTTTCCAACTTCTCATTCTCTCTGAGATGCCCCATTTAATGCAGGTAACGCACAACGCAGACCCACCTGTCAAAAAGAAATGTGGTAAACTCCAGATTTCCAAAGGGTGAGCTCCTCTTAGAAAGCCAATAGCTTAATAAGAAGAACGTTAGTCCTATCCTGAGAACAATA